CTATGGCTTTCATGATGGCCGGCGCCACATTGAGTCCCGAATCCCATTCGGGTTAAGCAGTACCTCGTCCCATTAAGAATCACTGTCTGAAATGGCCACAGTGACCGTGCACGCGTATTCGCAAGTAGGCCTTTTCAAGGTCAATCACAGAGACATTGGATCCCTTCGTTCGCCATTCTCTCAATTTTGTGCACACACATCAGCATGAGCTGTGTATGTGTCTACATGTTCGTTCAGTTCTCTATAATCTAGTACAGGGCGCACCTTTCCTTGTTCTTTTGTACCACGGCCATCAACGGATGAGGCCTCTTTGAGGACCAAGCTCTTCCTCGGGATATGGAGTCAGCCATCCGTTATCCAGCCACACCTGCAATTCGCGCTGGTATTCTTCCTTGACGCTGCTCGGGCACCAATATTCTGACACTCGGTTCTGGAGCTTTTCTGGTGGGTTATTTTCCGACCATTTCCAAAATGCTGTCCATGTCTTCGTCCTTTGGTCGAACTCTGCGCTAAAGTCGGGCTCGTTAATCTTCAAAGTAGCACAGATGGGCGGATCAGAAAACTTGACTTCGCCTGCCTCTGTACGCGTCGACGCCCAGCTCCTTAATAATGTCCATCCCAAGGAGCAGATCGAAACCTAATAACGCGCTGTCCACGACCAACACACTGACTGTGACAGGGTCACCGTTGTTAATACTAAGTTTGATGTTTCCAACTCCCGGCTTCTGAGAGCCTTTCCATCAGCCGTTAGTACGTCCATCTTTTGTCTGCTCCACTGTCGGCAAATCGAACCGTTGGTGAGTGACCGAGAGCAGCCAGAATCTATTAAAGCGGTACGCGCGTTATTCCATTGATGCGCACCTTAATCACAGGGAGCGCCACTTTTCATGCTCGGGTGCGGGGAAGAGACCGGCGCTGACGTCGCGCCCCCATTCCATTTCCCGGCACTTAGAGGCAATATGACCTACTTTCTGACATTGAAAGCATCGTAGATCGAGACGTGCCTTTAGCGCCGACCCGCGCATTTCTTCGCGTTGATAGCGGCAGTCTCTGGCAAAATGATTCGCCCAGAGCACCGATAGCAGGTGGCAACGCCATGGTGACGAATGGCTGGGGTCGGACCTTCTTTGACTTCAATTGGTTGAATAACCGCGGCCACTGGTTCATCAGCCTCTTTTTTCGTCGATCATGACAGCACGGGCTCTGGTCAACAATTGATTGAGCGTCAGGTCTTCCATTCTGGATGATGCGCGAGTATCTGCTTAACATGACTGGGCAATCCAGAAACGAAGGCACATGTCATCCATTCTTCAGGAAGCGGTGCGATTGAACGGCGAGCTTCTTTAATTCTGCCAAATATACGTCTACTGTCTCGCCAGGTCGCAGACGCCGTGCCTGGAATTGGTCAGAGGCCACGAACCGGTCAGTTCCAAACGCGTTAGTAGAGCGTGCTTTATTTGCTCAATGTCGCTTTTCTGTTCTTTACTCAGCTGCCTATACACAGCAAGGGCACCGCCATTCAATCGCAGAGGAAGAATCGATCAATCTTCGATATCTCGCATAATTCGCAGACCAGTTCCACCTTTTCAATCCATTCAACCACAGACTGTCCACTAGTATCACCACTGAATTCGGGGATCAGTTTTATATCGAACGGTCTTTCCGCCATTTTGCGAGAGACAAAGTAAATGCCGAAATAGCTTGAAGAGTAAGCGTTCTCAAAGCAAATTTGTGGCTTTCACAACACAAAGAAAGAGAATCACTTGTAACACGCCAGGAAAATAACTCACGAACGCCGTAGCCAAAACTGCCCGAATTTTTTCCTCCCGAGTCGACAACACCAACTGCTTTTATTGGCAGAACCTATTTTTTCCATTCGTCGACAGCCGGGATAGGATGCTTCGTAATTTGCATATTAATACACTCTTATAGCGACTCCTGCGACGAACTTGTTTCTTTTTCGCTTGGGTTGACGAGGTAAGTCGCTATAAGAGTTTTGCTGACTACTTTTCTTTTTGGCAATCCCTCCCCGGCAGATCGCACACAAAACACGAACTTTTTTCCGGGGTACGTGATTATCTCGTTCACTACAGTTATAATAATAAATGTATAACACTTCTGTTGCTTTAAGCATAATTATATATCTTTATTAAACTTACATTGGCTGCTATTGACATATATGTTTTCAAAGCCTACTTATGTGTCTTTATAGAATGCAGATTGCCTGTTGATTGTTTTATATATATATATATATATATATATATATATATATATATATTTACAGCAAAAAAAAAAAAAATTACCTTAATATAGAGGATAGTCTATTTTAAGCCGTTCTGTACATGGCTATCATCAGCCCCTAAGTGTCTGTCTTGGAGCATTATTTTAAATTTATTTTCAATGTCAGTCCATCTCTGGTAGATGCCTTGTTAATCTATAAATCTCTAACTGAACTAATTTACATTAATTAAAAATAAAAAAAATAAATAATAAAATAAATTAAAAATAACAAAAATAGAAAAATTAAAAATAACAAAATACTAAAAATAAAGATAATGATAATATGAAAAGAGGAAAACATACAAAAATAGATGTTTCTAATTATCTCTTCTCTTTCTCTCTATATATGTGTGCGTGTGTGTGTGTGTATATATATATATATATATATATATATATATATATATATATATATATATAAGCTTTCAAGATGTACTAATAAATCTTTATTTACCTTGGACTGCCTGCTTTTGATAAATACACATTTTTAAGCCACATTTTTCTGAAATTTACATTGCCTTCTATTAACATGTATATCTACTTTCAAAATACCATAAAAGGTCTGTCCTTTGTGCTAAAACTAACTTGCATACAATGCTATTTTCCATACCAAGTAGTGTACAAAACCTGTTTTGTGATATTTTTATTATATATTGTGTATTGAGAGTGTTGTCTTGCTTAGTCTGTATTGCAGAGTATCTGATCGAAACCAAAAAGGCAACACCCCTATAAAATTGCCATCGATGTCTCAATGCTCAGCATATAAACACATTTTTTTCCTATTTTTTCCCACAAATGAACCAGCACAGCCAGGCAACAATACTGTAACCATATCAGCAGTGACCACAAAGAATGTAAAACAAACATTTCTTTATTATAAATTTCATTTGTTTCTTTTTGATATAAGAAGTTATGTTGGACAACTTTTCAGAACTTCTTTTATGTGCCATGTCCACTCAGGATGTAGACAATCATGGCCCTCCACAACTTTCTATCTCTTGTAATACTAAGTAATGTTTGACCACTTATTATCTTTCCTTGTTCATGTTCTGCCATTCAATTACACAAGCTCATTAAGGATATTAATTGCTGCTTCTCTCTGCCCTTTTTACCTTCAATATGTCCTGGTAGGACATTTAGATATTTTTCAGGCTCCCCACTTCCCACGTTATGTGTCCCAAAAACATCAACTGTCTCTTTCTGATCCCAAGAAAAGTGTTCTTTTTGTTTCCATTGCCTTTAAAACTTCTTCATTGCTCACATGTTATGCCCATAGCATTCTCAGAATTGTTCTATTGAACTACATCTTTGTTGCTTCAAATCTCTTCATCTGTGAGGAACTTGTCCAGCTGTCAGTGCCATAGAGGAGGACATAGCAGTTCAGCACTCTTTTCTCTGTTTCTGTTTTCTCATGTATCCTCTTCATCTGCAAATTGTTTTTTTAGCCATCAATTCTTGATCTCTAACCCTGCATAGAAGGCTAGTTCAGCTAGTATAATCTAATGACAAAAACAGAGCAGATTTAATCAAAATAGTTTAGTAGCAATTGAATTATGAAAACTTAAAGAAGATTATATAAGAAAAAAAAACACTTAAGTCTTGGAATGCTCATCATTAGAAGTGTTTGTGCTTATTAAGCACTGGTCGTTGCTTTTGCAGTGAATACATTCACTGAGAGTATTTAATTGAAAATAAGTGGTTTATGTGCTAGTCAAGCAAGGCAATAGGAACTGTTTGAGTTTAAGAGCAAATGAAGATGTGCTTTTTACTTACAGAATAATTGGATAATGGAAAGAGACAAAGTTCGAAAAGCGGCAAAGATTGAAAAGAGGCAAAGGTTGAAAAGAAACAAAGGTTGAAAAGAAAAAAAGATTGGAAAGAAACAAAGATTGAAAAGAAACAAAGATTGGAAAGAGGCAAAGATGGGAAAGAGGCAAAGATTGGAAAGAGGCAAAGATTGAAAAGAAACAAAGATTAAAAAGAGGCAAAGATTGGAAAGAGGCAAAGATTGGAAAGAGGCAAAGATGGGAAAGAGGCAAAGATTAAAAAGAGGCAAAGATGGGAAAGAAGTAAAGATTGAAAAGAGGCAAAGATGGGAAAGAGACAAAGATTGGAAAGAAGCAAAGATTGAAAAGAGGCAAAGATTGAAAAGAGGCAAAGATTGGAAAGAGGCAAAGATTGAAAAGAAGTAAAGATTGGAAAGAGGCAAAGATTGAAAAGAGGCAAAAAGATTGGAAAGAGGCAAAAGATTGGAAAGAGGAAAAGATTGGAAAGAAACAAAAGATTAAAAAGAGGCAAAAGATTGGAAAGAGGCAAAAGATTGGAAAGAGGCAAAGATTGGAAAGAGGCAAAGATTGAAAAGAAGTAAAGATTGGAAAGAGGCAAAGATTGAAAAGAGGAAAAGATTGGAAAGAGGCAAAGATTGGAAAGAGGAAAAGATTGGAAAGAAACAAAGATTAAAAAGAGGCAAAGATTGGAAAGAGGCAAAGATTGGAAAGAGGCAAAGATTGAAAAGAAGTAAAGATTGGAAAGAGGCAAAGATTGAAAAGAGGAAAAGATTGGAAAGAGGCAAAGATTGGAAAGAGGCAAAGATTGGAAAGAAACAAAGATTGGAAAGAGGCAAAGATGGGAAAGAGGCAAAGATTGGAAAGAAACAAAGATTAAAAAGAGGCAAAGATTGGAAAGAGGCAAAGATTGAAAAGAGGCAAAGATTGAAAAGAGACAAAGATTGGAAAGAAGCAAAGATTGAAAAGAGGCAAAGATTGGAAAGAGGCAAAGATTGGAAAGAGGCAAAGATTGAAAAGAAGCAAAGATTGAAAAGAGGCAAAGATTGGAAAGAGGCAAAGATTGAAAAGAAGTAAAGATTGAAAAGAAGCAAAGATTGAAAAGAGGCAAAGATTGGAAAGAGGCAAAGATTGAAAAGAAGTAAAGATTGAAAAGAGGCAAAGATGGGAAAGAGACAAAGATTGGAAAGAAGCAAAGATTGAAAAGAGGCAAAGATTGGAAAGAGGCAAAGATTGGAAAGAGGCAAAGATGGGAAAGAGGCAAAGATTGAAAAGAAGCAAAGATTGAAAAGAGGCAAAGATGGGAAAGAGGCAAAGATGGGAAAGAGGCAAAGATTGAAAAGAAGCAAAGATTGAAAAGAGACAAAGATTGGAAAGAAGCAAAGATTGAAAAGAGGCAAAGATTGGAAAGAGGCAAAGATTGAAAAGAAGTAAAGATTGGAAAGAAGCAAAGATTGAAAAGAGGCAAAGATGGGAAAGAGACAAAGATTGAAAAGAAGCAAAGATTGAAAAGAGACAAAGATTGGAAAGAAGCAAAGATTGAAAAGAGGCAAAGATTGGAAAGAGGCAAAGATTGAAAAGAAGTAAAGATTGGAAAGAGGCAAAGATTGGAAAGAGGCAAAGATTGGAAAGAGGAAAAGATTGGAAAGAGTTGATCATTGGAAAGAAGCTAAGGTTCGAAATGGATGATCATTGAAAAGAGACAAAGGTTGGAAAGAGACAAAGTTTGGAAAGAGATGATCATTGGAAAGAGACAAAGGTTGGAAAGAGGCAAAGGTTGATGAAGTATCATATACAAATGAGGAGGACAACATAAATAGAGAGCAGAGAGTGAACAAGACAGCATTAGTCAGTGAACCCATTTGCTAAACGTAATGTGGAGAACAGTGCTACAATTGTTACTACTCAAAGAGAAATATACATCACAACAATGGCATTGCCGATAGGATGTTTGAATGAGCTGGAAGATCCCAAACACATAGAGATGTGGATCAGAATTTTTTCAGCATTTGCAAGAATAAAAAAAATCTAAGAGATACCAAGACCAAAGGAGGAGAAAACGAGATAATGGATTTATTTCTTGCTACTGCTGGGTGTGAAGTGGGGGGAGAAATTTTCGACTATGTGTTACCTGAGCGAACTAGAACAAATGACATTTGAAGAAATTGTCAAAGTTATAAAAAAGAACGTAAGACTAAAAAAAAGATTGCTCGTTACTGAAAGAACCAAGTTTTTAGAGACAAGACAAGCATCAAATGAGTCCATTGTACAATACTTACATAGGTTAAAAGAATGTGTTAAATACTGTGATTTTGAAAAATTGTGAACTCAGGAAATGGCCATAGAAGATGAATTAATTCTTCTCAGAATAATTGAAGGTTTGCAAGACCAAAATCACAAATGAAAAATACTGGAAGCTTTACAAAGTTGTAATGTAACTTAGGAACTAGTGTAGAATTTTTAAAACAGAGTTGATTAAAGAATTTAATCAACCAAAAGAAGAATTTGAGTCATACAGGACAAGCACAACCAAACCTATAATTAAATGTAGGTTCTGTGGAAAAAAATCATGAGAGAAACAAGTATAAACATCAAATTGCAAAAAAGAACGGATGCAAATATAAAAAGAAAATAGAAAGAGTACAAAAAGTACAAACCTCATCTGAAGAAGAGGACGAAATATTTACAGTGAATAAGCAAAAAAGAAGGAGAGAAAAAATAAAGATAAATGGCCACATGTTTAACATGTAAGTTGATACAAGCAGTGAAATCATGCTGATACCAAAAAAATTTGGGGTCAAATTGGGACAGCCTAAATTAAAAAAAGCAACATCCAATTGAAGCAGTTTCATGGAACAACTATAAAATTAATGGGTACATTTCAAGGCAATTTTGAAATGAATACGTGTTTTTCAGTAATTCCCTTTACAGTGGTAGAATGCAAAAAAGATCATGGATTACTAGGGACTGATGTGTTAAAAGTACATACAGCAAAATTAATCAATTCCATTGAAGTAGAAAATAAAATTGGAGTGTTAAAAGGCTATAAAGCAAGTATTTGACTAAAAGAGAATTATCACCCAAAATATATAGTCGAGAAAAGTTCCAATTTATATCCTATCTTTGGTGGTGGCCAAGTTAAACAAAATCATACAACAAGGCATACTAGAAAGAGTGACTCGATATAGTAGCAATTGGGCATCACCAATAGTAGCGATAAAGAAACTTGATGGAGATTTAAGAATTTGTGGTGATTACAAAATAGAGGTAAATCACCAGATATGTTCAACTCTCTTCCGTTGCCAAATATCGAATCTGCGGGCCATGAGTTAGCAAAAATGGAGCACTTTGTGAAAATTGATCGCAAGGCAGCATACAGCCAAATAGAAATTAATGAAAAATTCAAAGTAACTACAATGAACACCCCTATAGGCTTGCTAAGGTGGACACATCTACCGTTTGGCGTAAAGATGTCAAGTCACATCTTTCAGAAAGCAATTGAAAGAGTCTTATTAGGAAAAATAAAAAATATGATAATTTACCAGGATGATATATGCGTAGGGGCAAGAACCAGAGAAGAATTGAAATTTAAAACAAAACAAATTTTAATGAGGTTGAGTAAGGCAGGTATAAACAAATACAAATGTAAGAAGATATCATATTTAGGATATCAAATATCGAACGAAGACATATCACCTGATGAGAGATTAACAAAGAAAATAACAGAAATAGCTCCTCCAACAAATAAAAAGGAATTAGAATCCTTTTGGGGGCTGATAAATTTTTATAGTAAATACATTCCAAGATACAACGATGTAATAGAGCCATTTGCAAAACTTTTATTATTGGTTTGCTCCTCAATATTTTCTTTCCTGTTTCAAAAGCAATAGTTTGCTCTTGTGTCCAGGAGCAAACCAATAATAAAAGTTTTTTATCCACAAAAAGAAGTAACATTAACCACAGACACAAGTGAAAAAGCGATTGCTGTTGTTGTCTCACAAGAAGAACACCCAATCATGTACATATCAAGAAGGTTAATGTCAGCCAAGATTAACTACTCGAATATTGAAAAAGAAGTATTGGCGATTGCATGTAGCATGGAAAGGGCACAAAATTTTTTGGTAGGAAAGAAATTATTATTAAAATCGGACCACAAACCACTGGAATTCATATTTTACCTGAGAAAAGAATTGCTAAAAATAACATCATCAAGGATTGTGAGATGGGCGATAAAGATCATGGCATTAGATTTTGACATAATGTATGTTAAATGGAACACTATCCCTCATGTAAATGCATTATCAAGATTGCATTTCAAGAATGAAGCTGAAGAAAAACAGGAGAAGGTGGAAGACAATACACAGGGTTGAAATGGATGTTCTTCCTCTAAATAGGCTCAAAATAGAGACAGAGCAAGACTCAGTATTAAGCAGAATAGTGGAGAGAATAAGAAATAATGTATGGAGCAATTGTTCGATGGCAGAGTGGCCCTTTAAAGAAATGAAGCACAAACTGACAGTAGAAAATGGCATAATATGCAATGGAGATATAATTGTAGCTCCTCTATCACTGAGAAGGGACATATTAAAAGGAGTGCATGATGATGTGAATTGTGGCATAATAGTGATGCAAAAAAGACTAAAGTTACAAGCTTGGTGGTCAGGATATTCAAAAGATATAGAGGAGTATATTAAGAGATGCCCAAAATGTGTGGAAATAAAAAATTACAAGCAAAGAAAAATTCACTCATGGCCCAAGGAAGCAGAGCCATGGGTTAGGGTCCACATGGATCATGCACATATCAAAGATAGGGGAATCTTCTTCTAGTGGATTTGTATTCAGGGTGACCAGACATTGTCAGAGTAAAAGACAGAAAAGCCACCACAATAAAGCAAGTACTAAGAACGATATTCTCAAGGAATAGAGTATCTCAGACACTAGTCACTGACAATGGACCTGAATTTTGTGATGAGAATTTATGTGCGTGGTTGAAATAAATAGAATGTATCCCACCATATCATCCACAATCTAATGGCATTGCGGAAAGAATGGTACAAACGATAAAAATGGGGTTAAAAGCATTCTCACCACATAATGAAAGCCTAGAAGCATATTTACAAAAAATGCTTCTCATTTATAGATCCATTCTACATGCAGGAAGAAAGCTGAGCCCTTTGGCATTAATGGGCAGACAAATCAGAGCCCCCATAACTGTGTCCTTTTCAATGAAAGAAAAGGTATGGTATAGAAAGAATAAGGAGGCTGATCCAGAAGAAGCAAATTTCCTGACACAAAAAGGACACAACACAGCTATACTGGAGAAAAAGGAGCAAATATAATAGCACATGCAGATCAATTCAGAAGCAGAAATGAATTGGATAATGTGGAAATGGAAGATCAAGAGCAAAAAGAGACAGAAAATCAAAAAAAATGAATCAGAACAGAAAATGGAAGAAAGTGAGAGTGAAAAGACAGACAAGAGTGAAGAAGAAATGAAAAAAGGCCAAGATTGCCATTAAGAAAAAGAAAGAAAGAAAGAAAGGAAGGAGGAAGGAGAACACAGTACAAGAGTAATCAGAAATAGTAGTAGAATAAACAAGGGTGTCCGGCCTCTTCGGTTCAGGGAGGTGTAGTATCATATGCAAATGAGGAGGACAACATAAATAGAGAGCAGAGAGTGAACAAGACAGCATTAGTCAGCGAACCTGTTTGCTAAACATAATGTGGAGAACTGTGCTATGATTGTTACTACTCAGAGAGAAATATGCATCACAACAGTTGAAAAAAGACAAAGTTTGAAAAGAGGCAAATTTTGAAAAAAGGCAAAGTTTGGAAAGAGGCAAAGGTCAGAAAGGGATGATCATTGGAAAGAGACAAAGTTTAGAAAGAGGCAAAGATTGAAAAAAGAAGAAGGTTAGAAAGAAGTAAAGGTTGGAAAGAGATAGCATTACATATAAAAAAAAAAGAAAAAAAAAACTTTTTAAGATTTGGGGGAAAAAATTGTAAAAATAAAAAAGAAACAAAAATATCCAATTTATATTATTTTATTGAAAATCTGAACTCTGAGATTCATGAATAACATATTTATATAAATGATACTAGGAAGTGAAATTGGTATGATGGTTATTGGTACAGGAAATGGAACCAACAGCAGAATTCAAATTCCACCTGATGCTGTTCACTTCAAATTGATGCTCTTGGAAAAAACATTAATCTATTTCTTCTTTTCAGTGCCAAATCCCTTAAGAATTTAAGTGATCATGGCTCTCTACAGCTTCCTGTCTTTTGTCATTCAACTTTCAGCCCTTTACCATATTACATAGCAGTTCAGCACTCTTTTCTTTGTTTCTACCAAAATTCTCTTAGTACTTTGCTTAGTTTATCAAAGACAACTTTTTTTATTCTTATACACACCTCATTTCTCTGTTACATTTTCTGTTTTCTATTACTGCCCTAGCCAGAGAGTTGAATTTCTCTAACTGCTTGATTTTGACATCCCCACTTGGGGCTGCCACTTTTGCTGGCAACTATAAACTATTTTTTTTTTATAGTGAATAGTCTTTTCTTCTTACTTTCCATTAATGCCTTATCTAAGAATGCTTTCATTTTCTTTTCTGCCATGAATACAGTGTCATCTTTGCATTTCATATTGCTAAGAT